ACCTTATATATATATATATATATATATATATATATATAATTGTACGGACTTACTTGAAGTCAATAATGATGTCATTTATTCTCCTATATGTTAGTGCCACGTAGCATTGTAGCACCTTCATTGTATGTCTCTAGGAAATAGTCCAAGAAGCTTCATTTCGAGCTAAAGGCAAAGCTACTTGATTGAAATTCAATAAAGAGGTTTATAAAAGTATTTGGGTTACTAATCACTTTTCCACAAGATAATCCCAAACCTTCTCCACAAACCCATCAATATGTTCAACGTCAACTCCTCAATGGAAACTAGCCTTCACCTCCAAAAATTCCACATCCCTAACCCTAATTCTAAATTTGATCAAGAATATGGATGTACCTCTCATCATCATCATCATCATCATCAACAAAACGATTCTTTTCAAAGTCCACACGATATCTCAAGATACCTTATGTCGGACGAGGGTTTTGACCATGGAAGTTTCTCATCATCGCAAGGCGTTTTTGAAAACACAAAATATTGCTCTTACGATACTGCAGGGGCGGAGCCACCCCAAAGGCTGGGGTGGGCTCCAGCCCAGGGTACTTCAGAAAATAAAAAGAAAAAAATAAAATTAAGTAGCCCAATATAAGAATTTAGCCCAGTTAGCCCGGCCCAAAAATTTTAATTAGCCCACAAATTTTAAGTAGCCCAAGAGATGGAGAGAACATCTTCGTTCTTCACAATTCTCACAGTCAGAATTCTAAAATTCGAAGGAAAGGAGAGTAATTTTTTTTTTCTTCCCGACTTCACCTGAGATCTCTGTTGGTCGTTGCCCTTCTTGCTCGTCGGAGTCCGTCCCGAACAGAGGGTCGAACGGAGAAACGAAGCCCTTTTCCCCTCAATTTCAGCCGCAACCGCCAACTCGCGAGAAGCCCTTTCGGCGTCCGCTCGCGACCGCGAGAAGCCAATCCGACGGCCCTCAATTTCAACTCGTCGTCTACTCCGCTCGAGAAACTTCATCTCTGTTTCTTAGGTTCTACTTTTTTTTTTTCTTTTTTTATAAATGCTTTTATAATTATTAATAATTAGGGCTTTAAGGAGTAAAATATGCTGAATTTTCGTTTTATTGATTTTGATTTGATGAAAAAGTGGCTTGGAGTTTGGGGAGAAGAAGAATTTTTTTTTTTCAGCAAATTCAAATTTAGGGCACAACATTGGGTTGAGCTCATCCTTTAATTGGGTTGAGCCCAAATATTTGTCAATACAATATGCTCCATCCTTTAATATAATTGGATCGAGCCCAAATAGTTGTTAAACACCATGTGCTCAATCCTTTAATGTAATGGGTTGAGCCAAATATTTGTCAAACTAAATATATATATATATTTATTTATATATATTTTAAGTGTTGTGCATAAGACAACTTTTATTCACCAACTTGTAATTATGTGTCCTATTAAATAAAATTGATAATATACTCTTCAAAAATCAACAACAACGAGCTATCA